GAAACGTCAGGAAGAAATTCCGATAGACCACGGCTTCAAAGCCCGGAAAACATTCCTAAATGTAATCTGACCGGCCGTGAAAGCCTTCATAGTCTATTTAATTTATTTTTCGTTTTTTTTTTTTAGAGTGACTACTATTGCGGGTGGTTCGGTGCATCATCCAATAGTTTTATTTTTTGTTAAATTACATGTATTTATGTTTTATCCTCATAGAAATGAGATATTTTTAAACCAGAATAAAGCTTACCATGCGGCAAATAACGTGCAAGCACTTTTATAAATTTCTTCTTGAACAATTATGCCATCAATAAGAAGGCTTGTCGGTATTAAAGGCCACGTATTTGCTATACATTTTACATATATATATCTTCCAATTTACGATTTTGATTTCACCAAAGCCGTTTTTCATTTTTTTCTGTCTAGTTTTAAATTTTCAAGAATTTGTGTTTCATAATATTGGTGCTTGGTGGAATCCGTTTATTAAAAGAGTCTCGTTTTCCCAACAATTTCTTACTTCTTGCTGCTTTCTTATGCGGTTTAAGACGTCAGTGTTTGTAATGTGGTTTGTTTAAAATACTGGCAATATTATGAGGTAACACAAGTAAATAAAAAACTGTAGTGTTAGAGTGATTTATTTCTGTTGGAATTGTCAATCGCGAAAAAAGTTGTAAAATAATAAAATCAACAAAGTGAAAATATACGTAAAGAATGCACTAATAAATACTATATAATTCCCAACCTGACCCTCCTAAAATCTTTGGACATTCTTTTGAAACAACCTGACAAAATAGGGCTTAATTTTAAATAACACCACTTGTCGAAATATCTTGCACTTGCGTAATGTAATTAATATTATGAGAAAACAAGAAATATTTACACTCGGCAAAAATCAATGGAGGACGCAACAGCAAACAATAGAGATTTATGAAACATTAAAAAGTAAAATTCCAGCTTAATTAATTTCAAACATTACCCATTGATTACGACCTGTGCAACTTACAAATAAAAGAGCCAATCAAGGAGTTAACGTAAGAACTATGAAATGATTCACTTACCTTCAACGTGACACTGTCTCCTGATGCCTTAATCATATCAATGATTTCCTCCCTTGCACGATTTTCAACAGTTACTCCGTTAACTTCTAACAGTTTGTCACCAGGTAATAAGCCGGTCTCATTATGATGTTGAACCATCGCCCCAGGTTCCGCGAATATCACAGCTCGCATGCTAACGCCACCTGGAATTAATGGAAAACCAAGATGTAGTCAAGAGAAAATCCAGTTTTGCAAGGCTTCTTCATAAACTAATGCGATAAAGCAAAATAAATAACTTGCTGAAATTTTTTTGGTTAAACTACCGTAAACGATATGAAATCAGTAGCGATCAACCAGCTAACACATCTTCACCTCAAGTAATATTATTGTCTCACAAAGCCTTACCTTCTAATGAATTATTTCCCGACCGTTCCAACACCATGGCCCGTCTCAGTGAAAAACCGAAATCACTTCTGGGCGGCTTCTGTCGTTGAACTACAAGTGTTCTTGGTTTCGGAAGAACTATGGGTATAATATTGGGAAGAGGTAGATTGATTTCATCGAAGTTTGAAGTTCTGGACCATCTGAAATAAAGAGAATACACTTATGAAAAATCCTATATTCTAAAAATAGGAAAGAAAAGCAAGTGAAATTAAGCAATCGTTGAACATTATTTGACTAAATTGAAATAAATAATAAATACATAGTAAGATAAAATAAGGTGTCCTCCAAATTTCTGCGAGCAAAAACATTAAAACTTTATATTAAATTAAAAGTGTTAGATTAGTCCAAGACAAACCCAGAGAATATTCAGTTTTACAGATTTACTTCATGGTTGTTTATCGACTACTGTAAGAGTACTGAAATTAACACATCGACCAAGACACAAGAGCTATTGGGATTTTGAAAACAGAAAATAAAACTGTGGATAAAATGGGAAAAAAGATAGGCAATTAAAAATGCAATAAAATTGGTGCCGCACAAAATTAATTTGAATTTGCGAATATGACCTATTCGTGGCAAATAGGTATTTGGTATTTCAATTTTTTGTGATAATATCAGATCTAAGGAAAAACCGACTATAAGTACACGTGAAGTGTTTTAAGTCGAAATTCCTTTTGTACGAAACTATCAACGACTTTGTTCCTTTAAATACGGCCCTGTTTGATTACTGGCAAATAATTAAATATATTTTCATTTTGGATTCAACGATGTATAACATATTAAAACTTTATCATTTAGACAGTCACTTAAATTGATCTTCCGAAATGTTATTATACTTACCTACATATATTTTCCAGAAAATTAATTTTACATTGATTCATTTTGACAAATGTTTAGTAAGATTAAATTACTAACTTATTATTCTGACGGATGAATGACTTCCGGCTAATATTTAAATAAACATCCAACAATTTAAACACATTAACATGAATTTTTATAATAATTAATATTATTCTCTTTTCGAAAAAAATGCTATAAACCATCACAACATAACATGCAATAGAATATATAGAATGCAATAGCTTCAGAATTCTAAGTTTTCTAAGAATTCTAAATAAGACATCAAAAATAAAACGACAATAATTTTTTTGGTACAAACATTCTATAACTTCTGTTTGAATCTCATTTCCCTTTCTGTTCCCATGTTAAATAGAATTATTCTACTCATTTTGATTTTTATGAAATATCTGCAAATTTGTTATAACAGCTTAAGCTTAATACATATATGACCACTGCAGGCTGCGAAGAAAATTTTCACCACCTCAGTCAGTCAAAAAGCCTCACTTTTGATGTATGAAGCATATTTTCCAATGTTATCTACATGATGTTGGAAAATACCACTTTTAAACCTTTGAATTGACGACATGCTTAAGAATGAGCGTAAATCCGCGTTTTCTAAAAGAGCTCTCGCATTTTTGGTCTTATTATAATTTATTAAAATGCATTTGCCATAATCATAGTGTAGTTTACTATTCACTTAGCTTTTCCATTCAAAATTGCAACAAAAATCTGTTTTCTATTGAAGATTTTGTGGAATATTATTAGAAATTGTAGCAAACTCCAACGTATTTTATTAACCGGATATGCGGTTTCTTACCACAGGATATTTATCCAGAAGTGAAATGTGGACCTAAAACATATTCACTCGCTTATAAAAATCGTATTCCATGGTTTCAGAAGTTTATTTGAATATTTTTGTTGAAAATATCGTCTAAATATTGTGGAAGCTCAGTTGGAAGTTCTTTTATTAAGCGCGTAAAACAATGAATTTCCTGTAGATTTCCAAGTCATGTGCTAAGCTGAACAAGTAGACGCAAAATTTTCGAAGATATATAAGAATATTTTTTATTTTTAAATCGTCAGTCAGTTCGAGCACTTTCGATTTTATTGTTTTGGTGCTACAAAATGACTCATAATTTTCTTTATTGTTTTAATGACGAGATTTTAAATGTATTAAATGCTGAATTTACCTTATATACATATTATACGGATTTCAAGTTCATAGTAAACATTTTGGAAATAGTTTTCATCTACCATAAACCGTTTACCAGTACTTAATGGCTCTACAAATACGTGGTTGTAGCAAGCCGACAAATTTTCGTATATTTTCCTACCAATAAATTTAAATGCAATTAGATTGTTTTTGAAAATGATATCAACAAGAGTCCTTCAACTAGTCACCAAAATCGACTTTTTCATCATCAGATAGATAAAACATGAGAAATGTACTTCAAATTTTTATTGAAACATTTATATATTTCCATTGCCACTCATTTTTAACTTGGTTCTGTGTTGAAACACAGAACATTGGTGTGGTCATTTTTGATATTCAATTCTTATATTTGAAGTGTGTGGGTTTAAAGAAAATGAGCAAAATTTTGATATTATATTTAAGTAAATCAAGATTCTTGAAAGATACTTTTTGTTTCACAATTTATTTTTATTTAAATTTTTTAGTTTTACGTTTCCTCTCATAGCTAATCTCTTATCGTCCTCACACAGTAACGATTGAAATAAGTTTCAAAGAGAAAAAAGAACATTACTATTAATTCCCAAATATTGTGTTCAAAAGAAGAATCGTCAAAATGAGAGTTAACTCAATGTTTCAGAAGTAAATATGTTGGCGTTTTATTCAGTTATTCTATAAACTTCACTGGAATATACAAGATGTACTCTCTATCAGCCTCAATTTCGCATAAACATACACAACAGAAATTTCCAACTAATTTCTTAAATGGAATTTCCAAGAGATCACAAAGTTACTATTATAAATCAACCAGCCTTTCTATTTTCTTAAATATTCATTAATTTTATTCTCTTCAGTTCAGTAATTAAAATGTCCATAATCAGAAAGATATATTCTAAATGATCTAATTTATTTTAATCAACTATTTTCAATAACGAATTTTCAATAAGCCGATACAGAAATATGACAAGATGTAAGCAAAGAAGCAAATTTTCTTCTCTATTGCAAATAAATAGTGGAAAAATTCTTACCTATGAAATCCTTGTGATTCTCCTACAGGGCTCAATGAAAACGGTGGAGTGGCAAATGAACTATTCGTAGTGTCAGTCAAACTATCTGCACTTGGGGAAGTTGATGTAATAACCAGCAACTGACTACTCATACTTCTTATATCAAACCCATTGTGGCCAGGTACATTTTGATACGTTATCAGTTCATTCTGCAACGTATTTCTGACTAAATTCACATGATCAATTGTGTCGTGCCCATTGTGACTAGATTGGTCCTCTTTGTGACCATTGACAGTACTTGGACTGGTATCCTGGGTTAAGGTAACTCTTGGTGTCTTGAGAATCCCCCTTTTGGGAGGCTTTGGAGGTAACGGTGGTAGATTTTTTTGGTTTAATGAATTTAGACTAGTTTCCGAACTATCTGATTGGGTGTAACCCCCTTCAAAGTTGTTTGATTGATTTGGAGATCCGGGTATAAGTGGGGATTCTGATGTTCGTTCCAGGCTCGCCAGAAAATCGGCAGTGTAGTCTGCTGTGATGCCTGATGGAAGTTTCTCCTTATCTTTACGCCGACCACGGATTTTCAGAGACCGTCGAACCTGAAACCAAATAAATGTCTTCAAAAAACATTACTTACTAAGAATGGACTATTATTTGTTGACTAACACCATTGGTATTCGTTCAAGTCAATTCGACACAAAATAGAATCCGCAAATAGAAAGAAAATTATATTAATATGTCACGCATGTAAAGCGATATACCCGGCGTTTAACCGAATTAATTAACTGTAAAATGCTGTTGATTCTCGCAAAGGAACCGCGGTTGAGTACTTCAAATATTTGAATAATGAATTTATTTCTCGCTTTCAATCTAATTACATAGCCTAACAATTAAACTTTAAGAAAATGTAGTATAATTCAATGGACAACCAAGAAAATTTTTAGGATAAATGTAAGGAAAAATGTAGGCTGGGAATTCTCCGGATTGTGAGATTATTTAAGGTCTCCACTCTACTTTTTTCATTAATTTAAGAAATACATTCAAACGTAACACTGCAAACGATTCTAGAGTTGAAATATTGTTTGTTTTATTTGTAAATCAGAGATTTAATGTGTCCTGTGTATCTAACATACATGGTATGGATGTTGCCCTTCGATAATTATCCGGTGCAATGTTGTACAATGCTTTAAGTACTCCTAGAAGACTCTGCTGCAACTATTTTCAATACTTGTTATAAGCAATACCTCCAAATTACTTGATCGTCGACTCTATTCCTGGGACAATAGTCCAGTGTCTCGAGCACTTTGCTGCCGTAAGTTTTTACAGCTTTTGTTATGTTACTGTGGCAGTCCCCGATAACTAAAATATGTTCGATATTTGTGTATATTTTGTGAGAGAAATTTCAAACTAAATCACAATTGGACAAATGCTTGTTATTCTTGACAAAAGCTATCTACCTGTAACTACCTGATAACAATAAAAAACATCGTTGCCTCTTTGAATTTACATAAAAAGGTTGTAGAAGTGTACTTTTTTAATCCTGTAAAAAAAATTGTTCATTTGAAGTTCCTAAAGCAGGTAATTTTTCTTTTCGAATGCTTAAATATTGCAATAGGCTATGAATCAAACATGGGACCATTTCAAAATTATCCGACTGATGGGTTCCTCTTATTGGATAATGTTTATTGTAAGAAAATGGTCATGCGTACAAATTATTCCGCTAATGGCAAAGAGTAAGTGTAATTTTCTTTAGATTTTTCTCGCGCAAGTGTATTCGAAAACAAAAGTTGAAAAATGAACCAGATAAATATGATATAGGTACTTACTTATACCTAAGACAATAAAGCATTATGAAGAACATTCCAAACTAGAACGTATGAGATATTCAACTGACTTCGAACTTCTAAGAGTTTTTATACATATACAGGGTGATTCAAAATTGGCGTCGTTCCTTTTAAGGGGTAATAGGGGCTCACTTGGAACGTACGAGAAAAATTTTTTTCGATAACTTCTAGAAGATATTATCAGTTGAAAATCGAATTTCAACTTTGTTATTAAGCATTATTTTGAAAGAATTCCATGTATAATTGGAAGCATATTGGAATACTTAAGCATTCAAAAAGAAAAATTACGATCTTTGCATCAAATTACGAAAACTTTTGATATTAAAAATGTCAATGCGGCAATTTTTTTTGCCATTAACAGATGGTTACATGTGGATACCCCTTGTCAATAATAACAATGATTTGTCAAACTGTGACTTACTTTGAATTTCCTTTCACGAATTTGCGAATATGCGATAAGTTCAGGGGAAATGCTACAGTAAAATAGCAGAAGCTGAAAGAACTGACGCCAACAAAGGGCGATGAGAGTGGTGCCAGGACGATAGTGGACGACAATAGATTTTCGGATTCCATACACAGAGTAACAAGTATTGGACATAATTGCAGAAGAGCCTTTCAGGGGTACTCAGAACATTGCACAACTGACACTTTCCCAGGCACCAAATAAATATCGGCTTCCTACCACGTATGTATCACATTAAACCAATGGATTACTGAACACCGGTATAAGTTGAGCAGGAATTAATTACCCGAATACGTGAATCTGCTCGAGAAGAGTGCATAATAAGGTGATTACACAGGCACTTGTTTGGAGTTACAGACTCAAATGTATGTTTTTGTTATTTGTAAACACATTAATAATTCGAGGTTATGAGTTTCGAAATAGGTTCCGTTATTCAACGATTCCTGTTGAATTTACCGTTTATCCTTGTCTATCTTATTGTCACTTTCTCTATTTATCCATGGTTACCCGAGCTTTAAATAATTACGAAGCAACAGGTGTTTACGTAATGTTAATTAGCCAAATTACCTTTAAAAACAGTGTTGCCGCTTTTCTAATACAGTTTTTGGAAAATTTCTCAGTTTTTAATAGCAATTCTTTCTTTTTACTATTTTTTCTGTACTCCTAATACACCGCCAGACAACACCTCCAGACGAATGACGCCAATTTTGAATCACCCTGTATATATCTATAAGTATGAGTCACATCTTTTAAATAATTGGAGTATAGCTATCGCCCACCTACCCATCTTCTAAGGAAGTTTAAGAACGTTCGCTGCTTTAACGTGACTTAATATGGACAAATCTCTTAATATAATCGCGTAACTGCCGGTCGTGCTTCCGGTACATTTCTGTTAGCAAGCCCAATCAAATAATGCATATTAACTATTTTGGCGTTGGTAAAATTGTATATTAGAAATAGAGCCATTGGACAGATGTTCGCAAAAGAAAACGTAGGTGTGAGACTGAAGCTTGAAAGACGAAAACAATAAAAACAAGTGATAGTCCAGATTGCTCCAGAATCCATAATAGCTTCATCATGAATAATGAATGCTATTTTAACTGTTTACTTTAGCTGTTTACAATTATTTATTTCAGCTGTCTCAATGTATGGCATTACAAACTATCGTTTTATAATTCTTCACTTCGTTATATCCGAGCTTTGCAAGCTCCAAAACAAAATAGAAAAATATCTTAAACAGTTTCATAATTTGCTGCTTTTCAAGAAACTCTCAGAGCTCATTTCCAAAAGCTTTAGGAAAATACAGTTGAAATTACGCCATACAAACTTTCTGAATGGATGAGTTAATGTCAAACTATGGAAACAACTTGAAAATTCAGACCCTAGATTCCAAATGAAGCATAAGGTCTTAGCTTTGCTGAAAAACCCACTTTCGATCTTAAATTATCAGCAGCTTCCGGCGAAACGTTAGGTAAGTAATTGACAATTAATAGAAAGGAATTTATTGTAATTTCAGATAGATTGTAACAGGAAACCTATAATATCTGTAGATAGAATAATGAGTAGATAATACATATCTCCAGCCAATAAAAATAAAACAAGACCTCAAATAAATCAAATATTTGATTATAATCTGCGAGTATTAAAATCGAATTAACAATTATAAATGCCCCCCGGGGTGAGCGGTGGCAAAAAAACTGGGTCATTTTTTCATTCATTTGCACAATTTCAGCGTCTAATATTTTATCATTTGCCGATTAAAACATTACCTAACATAAAATATAACACAAACATATTACATTATATGTTTATAATACGCCTAACCCACAGTAAGCAAATACCTCAGCAAGTGCACTTTCCATTATAATTAGCATTTTACTCAACGTTATGCGCTTTTTACCGGTTACACAGTTAGGAAAAATGCCTTATTAACTTATATAATAGGCGTCAAATCAGTTTGTCAATTACAAATTGAAATCGTTATTGTTGTTAAATAGTATTAGATATTCACGTGGATATTATCAATGTGTGCTGATTTGAAAAATATTGGTAATAATAGAAAAGTAGATATTCATTGAAACCGACTTGATTATTGTTGCCGGAGATTTTGATGACCGAATAAGTTAGATTTTATTTCATTTTGACATGCTCAAACACTGAAAGTTATAGTGTCGAACCAATCAATTTTGGGTATAACATTCGAGTTTTTAATATATTTATAAACTACAAAGGTATATCGGACATAATACCATACATCATATAGCAATAAGCAAAACACGTACCATCAAACTCATGCAGATATAAACCCCGACATCACAACATGAGGATGCAGAAGTCGAAAGTATATACGAGGAAATAGCAAAGGCTCGAAACAAAATAAAATGCAACTACGGTAAGAAAATCGGCAACAGAAATCACAGAGGCAACATGTTAGTAAATATGCTAGAAAAAGACACTCTATGCTACGAATACCTTCTATAATAAAAAAACAATGAAGAAGGTAGTCGTGAATAAGACCAAACGGGAAAACAAGAAATGAGACTGAGTTAATCCTCTCTAGCAATAAAGAACTCATATGAGATATAACAGCATTGAACTCATTCAATACTGGCAGTGACCATCGTATGTCGTATAACGAAAACATTAACGATGGTAGCAGATAAAAAAAACATTCAAAGACGAGGAACATAACAAAAGAAACCAAAGAAAATATAGAACGACGATGAATGTATAAAGACTGATGAGTATAGACAAACAAAAAGGAAAACAAGAAAAATTATAAGATAGGATCTTGAAAAATACTATGAGAAAATGGCTAAATATATCATAGAGATGAACAAAATTATGATATGCTTCAAACGGAAAGAAGGTAAACAACATATAATAGCTATGAGAAACAAAAATAAAGAAGAAAGTGATAAATACAAAATAATAGAAATAACTACGACGTTCTATGAAAATGTATATGGCACAAAAGTGGTAAAACCAGAGGAAATTATGGAGAGAAGGGTTGCAAACGTAGGTTCAGAAAATATAGAAGCAACAGATAACGAAGAAGTAATCCGCGCCGTAAGTTTTATGAGCAATAACAAGAGCCCGAGTGAATAAAATATCCTCATAGAAATGGTAAAGGAAGCTCAAGATATAGTTATCCCAAAGTTAACAAAACTATATAATACGTGTTTAAAAGAAGAGAAGATAGAGGTAGAGAACAGAAGGTTGTTACAAAACTACGGGACCATAAGCTTACTTTCCCATCTGTATAAACTTTTTATGAAGATAATAACAAACAGAATAACAAAAAACTTGGATCACTATCAACCTCCAGAGCAAGCAGCGTCCCGCAAAGGTTTCAGCCGAACAGTTCATCTTCTAACAATAAGGATCCTAATCGAGAAAGCAGCCGAATACAACCTACCCTTATTCGTGGCCTACCTAGATTACGAAAAAGCTAGAAAAAAGCGTTTGATAGCATAAAACACTGGGCAGTCATGGAAGAAATTGATAAGGCACGTATAAATAGTAAATAAGGCCTGCAGCTGCAAAAAGAATATACTAGGATACCCGACCAATCCCAATAAAGAGAGGCATACGTCAAGGAGACATAGATATTTTCCCCAAAGCCGTTTACGCTGGCGCTAGAAAGCGTGTTCAAACAACTTGAATGATCAAATAGAGGTATCAACATCAATGGACAAAGGCTAAATCACCTGAGGTTTTCTGATGATGTGGTGATAATAGCGGACAATAAAGAAGATCTTTGCAGAATGTTAGAAGAATTGAAAGAGAAATAAAAAAAATGTGAGATTAAAAATGAACATGCAGAAAACTAAAATCATGAGCCGGGAAGAAGAGACGATCATAAGTATAGACAACAATCAATTGGGAAACGTCGAGGAGTACATATACCTTGGACAACAAATACAAATAGGAAAAGGAAATAAAGTTGCCGAAATAGAACGAAGAAGGCGTCTAAGCTGAGCAGCTTTCTGCAAACTTTCAAGAATGCTAAAAAATATAAAGATCGAATACGCACAAATTGATCAAAAGTGTTCGACCAGTATATTGCCAGTATTAACATATGGACCTTTCCAAAAAATGCAATACAAACATTATAAAGAACACAAAGAGGTTTGGAAAGGACAATGATGGGTATTTCCTTGAGAAATAGGAAGACAAGTGAATACATAAGACAATATACACAGGTCAAGGATGTAATAGAAAGGGTAACCCGGATGAAATGGGGCTTTGCGGGGCCTGTAGCAAGGAGAGAAGACGAGTGATGAAACACCAAAATAATACAATGGAGACCATGGCTGGGAGGAAGATCAAGAAGTAGACCGATACCCATGGTACAAGATGGTACATCAAGCGAACGGCAGGACTAAAATGGATGGAAATAGATAAAAATCCCGCGAGAGATGGAAGTCGTTAAGGGAGACCTATGCTCAAATATGGACGCAAGAGGGTTGGCAAAAATCGATTTTTAATAAAACATATATCGTTGCCATCGTCGTTCTCTAAGACCAAATGCAAATAGTGATAAATTTTATTGAACTCACCTCTAATCTCAAAAGATCTTCGGCCGACAAACTGCCCCGGTCCATTTTTTGTTTATCTTTGCGATCCTTCTTATCTCGCTTCCGTTTATCTTTGTCATCGCGGTCGGAAGTCACACCCTTTATAAAACTCTTGAACATGATGTCGGCTTAACTGAAACTAAAAAAAAAACTCGAATTTAAAAAATTAAACAAAAATATAAATTATGCAATAATATAAATCAAGATAATTTGATACTACTGCTGTTGTAAAACATTTAAATTCGGAAATTGTTTGAATTGTGGAGGTTTTAATATACAGTATAATTGCTACAAGATTCTAACGAATGAAGTAGGAAGAGCATAAAAAATCAGTCAAACAATATGCGAAATTAAGGTGCAATGATTTAGTCATTCTTCGCTAAATATCAATATTTTGAAATCACGGGGGCTCAACATCTACCGATTACATAACAGATACTATTGTTAGTAGAAAAATAAGTTGGCAAGTGATCTAGATTTTATAAAAATAAATATTCCGATATGTGAAAACTTCCAGGAATTGTAGTGGTAAATAAAATTGTCAAACACCTGGTCATTTAAAGTCTATTAACCTGTTTTTCCGATTTTAGGTAGTTACGACATTATTATTATTTTAATAAAATGAAGATAATTTTATATTGGCTATCTATATCTATTTATCTCAACCGTTCTGGCAACAACATTTAGGTATACGTAAGCTATCAAGCAAACTAAATATAATAATGCTTATCAAATCGTTAATAGTTTCATAGTAGTCATACTCTCAGTATGCAGGGACATATTTTCATGCAAGGAAAAACGAAATTAATTCAGAGTATGATTCTAATACAATAGATGGTCGCCAAGCTTTAACCATTCAACCATTCAAAAGTGTATCTTTATGCCAATAATTCTATGGTGTACAAACTGTACAAGGTAGACGGTAAGCAGGTGGAAGTCATTTAATAGAAAATATTGGATCCTAAGCGAAAATTAAATTATTAGATTTAATATAATTATAGTAATATTGTAGAAACGTGGCTTTTCTATAATATATCAAACCAATCTATACTACCGTCAATAAATAATGTTACAGAAAATGTTGATTGTGGAGTTTACAAAATCGTAAATTTAATTATTTACCGAATTGAATAAAAATATATTCAATTAAGCTTGAGTTACTCCCAACCCCAATTAATTTATTTCCGCATAGATCATTAGGCATAACAAGCAGCTTTATTACAGAACATTTGTGACAATAATTATGACATCAAAATTGTGAATAAATCAACTTCAATGTATTGCATTTTCAGTTTAAGAAGGAACAATTAACTTGCCGACTGCATAGAGAGATAATTAGAAACCGTGTTCAATTTTTTTTTACTATAGTATGTGACTACACTGTAAAATATACAAATTACAACTTAGTATATGCTTGATTTAACCTTCAATCGGCTAGTTAGACCAAACTTGCATGCACCATTTTGTTCTTATGAACATTGATTCAAGTTCAACATTTTTGAGAAATTTCATTACTTTAATAAGTCCTGCTTGGTTTAATTATCAAATTCAATCAACTAATATTATTTTTGGCTATAAGGGATTTAATGGGATTAAATGGTAAAGTTATTAAATACTAATATAAAGAATTACATAGAAGCACATATAAAATTGTGCACAAGGCAGATATAAACAAATATGCAAAATTAAAAAGAAACCGTTAAAATGCAAATAAGAACACAAATAAGTGAGTACAGATGCTAGGTTTGAAATCGTTAAAATGTTGCAAATTACAAATACAAAGTGAATTGAACTTTTTGGCACCGAAATTAACATTTTGATAACTTGTAGACGGAAAACGACTTCCTCGGAAAATAAGAGACGCAAGATAGCATTTCAACCAATATCCCAAAAATTTCAATTATAGAAAATTTTAAAAAATCATACATATTTCGTGTTTTCCCAATAAACAAATAAGCATATTATTTGCCTATGATTCAAAATGCATTAAATAATATCTCTTATTTTTATTAAAGTCTTGCAGAAACTAACTACTTAATTATAAATAAAGATTTATCGGTTTACAGGACTCAACAATTTGAAGGAAAAAGTTATACAAACTCGCATGTATTAAGAGTTTGTATAACTTATGTTTGTTTGATATTGTTAAACTTACACCATCTATCAGCCAGCTTACATCCCTTTTATCAAACCCTCAAAAAATTAATTATTGATCGTTAACAGAAATAATGTAACATTTAAGGTCGGTTTAGATATCATAATTGCAAAATCCCTAATAACCACCGTATGTTACAAACGGGTTCAAATAGGTTTCGGCTTCGTTGAATACACAGTCTAGACTGTTTTTTGTGGGAATGGAATTGAGATTGGAATCTTATCTGATTTCAAGCAAAATTGATTCTTTCCAAAAGTAATTGTCTGTTATATACTTACTCTAACAACATAACCTTTATTTCACCTGTTACCTCAGAAACTCAGTACACTGAGGTGTAAATCAGTTTTTTGTACAACTGTACAATTCTCTGGTATCTATAAGAAGTTGTTTATTTGTAACTGCTAATTTCTTATTTCCATGAAATGAAAATGTTCTCAGAAAATCAATCAATCAGTCCAGTCAGATTAGAAGACATTGTGTAAAATGATTTGTTTGCAAAGTAACACTAGATAAAGTCACCGCCTGTTACAAATCTAGGGCAAAAGTGAAGTAAGCCGAAATCATTGACCTTTAATTATTCTTTGGGGATGCAAATTTACGGCCTATGAATTTATGAGATAATGCCGTGCAAATGGTCTGCTATGCATGCGGATTTTGAGGTACTAATGTTCTTGCAAAGGATGCCAAAATGTACCTAATAGTGAACGTTCTTAACTCAACAAATAGGAAGCAATCCTTTTGAAACCCGTTTTAGGCAAATCAAAATGTTAATTTCTTGTCGTACATGGAGTTGTTTGGCGTAACACATTGTTGAAATATTTAGATTTTTTTTAGAAAGTACCATGTGATTATTGAAATTCACTATTTGACGCTCTGTATAATCACTATACAGGGTGGCTATTTTCTGAATCTTTGTATGGGTAACTTCTACATTTTAAAGATAGAGAATCCGTTAAATGGGCAAAATTGGGCAGAATTCGATTGCCTATTCTTTACCGTTTTCAAAATTTAGATACCCGACTTGGTTCCTGAAATATCCTGAAAAGACAAGAAATCAACAATTTTTTAATTATCATACAATTCGTAAACTGCTTAAAGTAGAAAAAAAGTTAAATTTGTCTTTGGTAGAACTTTTTGCGTTGCATCCAATAAACTAGCACTCGTTATCACAGTCAACTTGATTTACGAGATAAAAAATAAACTGACGGTTTTTTAAATGGTAATCATACTTGGCTGTGGGCCTTTTGAAATCCTTATTTTTTCTGAATTTAACGATATAATTGTTTGTATGTTTTTTCTCCTTTTGTTGCCGTAAAACTTCAAAAGAAGATAAAAATGCGTAGTAGGCTATGGAAACAAGAACTATATTATCACACAAAGCACAAAACAATAATGAATCGTTTAAATTAAATGTTCAAATTGACTTCCATTTACATCCAGGCATTTTTTGACATCTTCACATTCAACTCGTCAGTTGTGTGAAGGTGCACTATCATGTCAATTAGAGGATGATTTTTATTAGCCCAGTAAACATGATTGTGTCTGTTAATTATTTCATTTTTGTTTTGTGCTTTGTGTGATAATATAGTTCTTGTTTCCATAGCCTACTACACATTTTTTAACTTCTTTTGATGTTTTACGACAACAAAAGGAGAAAAACATACAAACAATTATATCGTTAAAATCAGAAAAAAATACGGATTTTAAAAGGCCCACAGCCAACTATGATTACCATTTAAAAAAACAAGTTTATTTTTTATCTCGTAAATCAAGTTGACTATGACACCGAGTGCTAGTTTATTGAATTCAACGCAAAAAGTTCGACCAAAGACAATTTTAACTTTTTTTCTAACTTAAGCAGTTTACGAATTATATAATAATTGGAAAAGTGTTGATTTCTTGACTTTTCAGGATATTTCAGGAACCAAGTCGGGTACCTAAATGTTGAAAACGGTAATGAATAGGCAATCGAATTCTGCCCAATTTTGCGCATTTAACGGATTCTCTATCTTTAAAATGTAGAAGTTACCCATACAAAGATTCAGAAAATGGCCACCCTGTATGTACTAAACAAAATAATGCTTTCCATGTTGAGAAAGAATTATGTATAAACTACTGCTTGTAAAAAAAGCATTTTTGTTTCTTGGTCCATGTTATCTGGTTCTCGCGTTCTCCAGAATATTTGCGAGTCGTAAACACATTCAAATACTTTTATATTCTTTGATCGTACGATAAACCGTTGATTTTGTGAACAACACATGTGAAAGTAGTGTATAATTAAGATATCCTTTATGTTCAATTGGTCGGTTAAAGAATATCTTACTGACTATATCTGTAATTTAAGACACAATATAAGCCGTATTCTTTGATGGCTCTTTAGATAATATTTGCCTGCCAAATACATTATGTCCTGTTTCTCATGGCTAGATACATCGTTTATATCTCCACTTTAAGTTAAAAAGCATCACTTCTTTTAGAGTGAAGTACTTAACACATTTTATAACACAGGAGTAAAACCTAATAGCAGCCACAGTAAGTAAATCTGCTCAAAGTTATTAATTTTATAAAAGCTTTAACAAGCCCCAGAAAAAAAATTACACTGTAGGCACAGCCCATCCTTTCATGGAAATGGCATTGTTGCCTGAGAATTAAAGGTTGTTGATTCTGGAATGCTACGTCTTATCCACAGTTAGATCCGGTGATAATTCTAATCCACTAGTTAAGGTCAGTAACTAAGGGGTTTAGTCCACAAAAAATAGGCAAAGTATTTGATGGATAAACGTTATTAAAAAGCAAACATTTGTATTTGTAGTTATACGATTATATGGTCACTTATGCCGATTATTCTTATAAATAACACGTAGTTTCGTTTCTGTTATGATCAGCATGATTTAAGTATAAAAGAAGCCACAGCAGAAACTAGCATTTAGCCATAAGAGATCTTGTTAGAAGACAGTCATAAGATATTTAGGATCTGCAAGAGT